ACACTGCATCTATGAGCACATAGGTTTTTACACAGAGGTGAAAGAGCTGGTACCCATTTGGTGTGACTTTATACTTTTAACTTTTTACGTTTAAGAAGAAAGCACAACTTCCTACTGCACCATAACGATGTCTGTAATTGCTATTAACTCTTTAGATTAAAGCTTTATGTGAAACCTGCACTCCGTTGTTGATTTTGTTTTGATATTTGTCGATCAGGTACATCCACTAATGCAATAATTCTGACTTCATTAAGATTTTGTGGACGTTGTTTCATAGAGGTGTTTCTTCAACTTAAACGTCACTTTTGGATGCTGTAGTTTGTGGTGGTGCTGAATAGTATTGCAGTATACAAAGAGGTGCTTTTTATTTAATTTATACAACACACCTCTCTGCATAATATGGCCTCCAAACTGAGCATACAGTTGAATCAGCTGCCCTCTAAAACTGTTTCTACAAAAACTGAACACTGTAACCTTCATGAAGGTAGGACTTATTGCAGGGTAATTATACTTTAAATGACACTGCTTTCATTTTAGCTAAGTACATGTTATAAATTGGCAAATGCAAACAGGGTCAGTTCATGCTGTATGATGCTTTGTTGTTTAAACTGCTGGCTTACCATTTTACCATCAGTACTTCATGTTGTATTTCTATTATACTATTCCTTATTGACTTAAACAAAACTGAGTTTTAATGGACACATCTACATTGTGGTACTGTTTCAAATACTCCGGATTTATTTGTTTTTGTGTCTATTGTGCAGAATCTCAATGAAACCTCTGAGAAAAACTCCGATGAAGATGAAGCCTTTGTGGAAACTGAGTGGGTTGATTTCGCACACAACGGCAGACTACAGAAAAAGGTGACTATGACACTGAACTCCTGTTAACTTAAATAATAAGTACCTAATAACAACGCTGATTTAAGTGTTTGTTAAATAATAAAAAAAATGTTACTGACCTGTTAACCCATACCTGTCTAGGGACGGAGAGAGATTAGAGGAGACTAATAATTTCATGTTGTTTATAATATTTAGGTTGGTATGAATCTTATATAATCTGTACACACCGAAATGCAAAATGTAACTTAGTTCACTGAATTAAACTGATCTTTCTCTTTTTCTCTTCAGTGGCCTTATCGGTCTCGAGCTCTGTGCTGTAACCTGTGCAAGTACTCTTCCCAAAACATCTACAACTTCAGGAGCCACGTCTCTCGCTGCCATGGATATGTGCAGTCATTCTGTGCGCTGGCCCCCTGTTCTCAGTGCCTCTTCATTGGCCACCCCAAGGTTGTCAAGAAGCACATGCTGTTCTTCCACGCTAAAGTCTCCACCCACATACAACCTCAGAGAGAAGGGTTGGCGCCCACCCATCGGGGAAACGAGAGGTATCACTGTCGAAGATGCGGATTTCCGGCCTCTTCTATCTTCGCGATGAAGAAGCACATCATTCTCAAGCACCTGGAAAGTTTGGCGGAACAGTATATTGGTTACAGATTACACCTTCAAGGCACCACATCTGTAAAGGTCCACTGCTGCAAGGTGTGTAGGGTGAACACTGGAAACCTAGACCAAATGTTGCATCACATGCTGGTTGAGCCATCGCACTATTCAGTCAGCACACAGGTGCAGAGTATGATTTATGAGAACAAGAACTACACCATTAAAACAACACCCAATGGCAACGGACTATTTGTGACATTCCCAAGTATTGCTCCCAAACCACAGCAACCTCAAATGTTCAACAGTAAGTCCTTGGTTTTACCAAGTAATGGCCAACCTGCTGGGACTGTGGTGGCATTACAGCAGTTACAAGGAACTACAAACAGTACTACTCTGATATGTGCACCTGGAACCAACCAAGCTTTTCTGCCCCCGCAAGCATCCGCGCTAGTGCAGCTAGCTAGCGCTGAAGCTAAAGGTTTGCTCCAGCCTGGTGCCACGATAGCCCTCCGAAGTGCTTTGCCCCACGGACCGTCCATGGTCCAGCTTCCCACGGTGTCTAATATGTCTCTGAAACAGGCACCAGTGGCTCTGTCTCCTGCTTCTGCTCAACCACAACAGACTCCACAAGCGCAGCAAATTCTTCTTCCATCAGGAGTGCAGGCCAACATGGCAGCTGGACCTGGAACTGTAACTGTATCTAAGCCTGCTGTGGTTACACAAAACGCATCAACAAACCAAATCACCCTACAAGGTACCATGCTGACTTCACAATCTCTGCTAAGTCACCTTATCCCAACTGGCAACAAGATGAATGGCATGCCCACATATACCTTTGCTCCACTGCAAGTAGCAGTGCCGGCCTCTCAGAGCACAAGCACCCCTCTCAAGGCCGTTGAGCAAACAAGTAACTCTTCACCACAAACTAAGAAATGGATTACCTGTCCCCTCTGCAATGAACTTTTCCCTTCTAATGTCTTTGACATGCACACAGAGGTTGCTCACCAGACAAAATCCAACACAACCAAGTCAGAAAGTGTGGCGGCACGAGCAGCGTTCTTGAAGAAAATGCCTGACAAAACTGTCAAATGTCTAACATGCAAAATTCTTCTATCAGAAAAAAGCGTCTTCCAGCACCTGCTGCATGGCCTGAATTGTTTGTACTGCTCAGCTTTGTTCTTTTCAATCAAACAACTTGCTGAGCATGTAAAGCAGCACAATCCCACAAGTAAGGCATACTGTGATTTTTTGAGACAGAAGTACAGGGTCTACTCAAAAGGTGTTGGGGGAATCCTGTTTCCTTACTTTGATGTCCACACCACAGCACCGAAAGAGGTCCTAGGAGATACCGAGGTCAATCTGGCCCTGGTCACGAATTCCCTCGACCTGATCTTCTTTAAGTTGCAGCCCAGCAGCCAACCGGAAATCTGCCCAGCCCCTGTGAAAATCAACAGTTCGTACTGTCCCTTCTGTGACGAAAAGTTTCAGAATGATTCCAAACACCTTCAGCACCTGAGACAAAAACACTTTGTAGCACCCACCATTCATGCCATCCTCAAGACCGAGGCTTTCAAGTGCATATACTGCAATGGTGTATACACAGGAAAGGTCACCCAGCAGGCGGTGATGCTTCACATTCAGCGATGCCGGTGTTCACCAAAACAACCACAGCCCCAGAAACCTACGGTGGCCCCACAGCAGCCGCCAAAACCCGCTCAGCAGCTCAGTCAGCCATCCGGACTCTACTTCCTCCAAGTGCCACAAGGGCTGACTATAAAACAAACGCTAGCTCCAGCTCGTGTGATTTCAGCTGCACCCACCGCAAAGCCTGCAGAAACAGAAGCAGAGCTGCAGTCTAAGAAGAGGCTGGAGGCTGCGTGGAGGCAGGTCATCGAGGCCAACACACGAGAGCGAGAACAAAAAGCGGCCATGCGCAAGAAGCGAGAGCAGCAAAAGTGTTTGCCCCCGCCTGAGCCTGTGATTCAGGCCGACCCTGCGGTGAAGCTGGTGTTGGAACCCACCCTAGTTGAGCGCCGCAGCGGCGAGGACCGCAAAGACTTCATATCCAAGTACTTCAACCGGAACCCCTACGCGACCAAAGCCGAGACTGACGAGCTGTGCAGGAGGCTGTCCCTCACCAAAGCGGAGCTGGCGGCCCACTTCAGCAAGAAGCGCAGCAAGTGCATGAAGAGTCTCAAGAGGAGCACAGCTGCCGTTCTCTTCGGCTTCAACATGACAGAACTGAGCAAAGTCAAGCACAATCTCGACATCCCAGAACATCAGGCCGCCGATACCGCGGAGCAGCCGCCTGCTGATTCGACAGAGCAGATGGAATACAGCGAGGACCGACCAGAGCCGATGGATGAAAGTGGAAATGAGAAAGTTACGGATGGGGAACCGGTGGAGCAAATGGAATGAGCTCTGAAATGTGTGAAAATGGAACAACCTGAAAACAGCAAACAATGCAGATGTACCTGATTTAAAAAACAGAATAAAACACAGATACTTTAATAATGGCCTTTTAACAGAACTAGAGTTCATCATGCAGTGCATACAATGCATTTCCTAACATACAAGTTACCTGTTAGCGAGGGCAGATTCTTAATGTAGCCTTCATTAATAGTGCTTCGTTTGACTTCGGTATGTTGTCAGTAACCCTGATTTCCAGATAAAGGCGGAGCCACGTTGCGATGCTCTTTTAGAACGTAATAATGAAGCTGCAGATGTATTTGTCTGTGAGATACTATGGTGTCAGACGGTTGAGCTGCAACAGTATTTATTTAGCTGGTTACAATCTCTCATTCAACGGTGGCTTCTGGCGGTTTAAGCACTGATTTACTCCTGGTAGCTGCTTTTATTTAAACCCATCTGTACAAAATTGTGATTCCTACACCATTGCTTGTCTAATATCAAGACACAAGTGCACACTTCAATGTAGATTTGATTTATTCTGTTAGGCTCTCCTTCATAAATTGTTTTGTTTTACATGTTTGGACCTATTTAATTCATGCACACGGCTTTTTTGTTGTTTTCTCATTGTTTTTATTTTTATTTTTCAGACTGTTCACATCACTCCTCCCTCCACATTTAGACACTTAAAGGGGAAAAAAATGTTTCCTGCTCACCAACTTCTGCAGACAATTTAGCCGAATGTTAATTTTGCAGTTTTGAAGCCAAATTATTAAGAATGTACAAAATGTTTGAGTTGGCAGGTTTGATCAATTCCCAGAGTTAATGAAACACTTCATTATTATAAATCTATGACCATGTTGCTTGCATGAGCCTTTGTTTTATTGTCAGGTGAAATTATGATTTGTGCCATTGTGAAGTCTACATATTTGCATAGACTTGTGGAAATTTACCTAGAGATTTAACATAACACAAAACATGTTACTGGGTGTTCAACATATAATATATCTTCTGTTCTCCTGACAGCTGTTTTTTTGTACTATACATGTATTTTCTATAATTCCTAGAGGATCAAAAATGTTGGGAGAGGTACAAATGCTCATTCTGTCCAAGGCCACTGTGTTGTAAAAAATAAATAAAGTGGTTTCCTTTTACGTAAATGATTCATTTTTATTTTTCATTTCATAATAAAGAATTTAACTTTAAATCAAGCTGTGTGAAAGCACTTCAAGGTATTTCATTTCTTTCATGTGTAACTGAAAAGACTTCTGGACACTTTTTTTTCCTTTTATCAGCAGGAATAGAAGATAATGTCACAATAAAAGTTCCATTAGTGTTTAATATTACCCTGAGAAATAATGGAATTAAACAATTTTCTACCAGCCACATTTAGTCTTCAGCTGAAATACATCAGTCAACCTATTTCTCAAATGACTTCCTTAATAGCAGCTCAAAATAAAAGATCAGGGATGTGTTGAGCCCATCCAAAGGTCTCATGATTAAATGCATGCGTTATTCACTTCTGGCCACACAGTGGTGCCAATTCACTGTCTTTAACTAGCTAGTTAGTTTTTCCACATTTTGTTAGGATCGCCATTACATTAGTACCATTTCATTATAATCATACTATAATACCACTGATTAAAGTAATAACAGACAGAAATGTGGTTGAAAGCCCCAGAAACTGCACAAGGTCAACTTAGTAGCTATTTCTCGCTCTTCATGTACTTTGAACAGCGACTAAATGGACCCTGTGGTGAGGTTGTTTCGTCAGCGCATGTTTCCAAAGTCAGTTATGTAAACTTTCAGTCGCTACTTCATTCTGATTTGATCAAGGATCGAGGGGCCGTTGTAGTTGTTGGTTTGAATGGCCTCCAGCCTCTTCAGGTACTCCACTGGGAGTCCGTTCTGCTCTGCACCCAGACACACCACCTTATATAAGACACAGGATTGAGACAGAGAATTAACATTTAGCCGCTAAAAAAAGTTATTCCATATAGTCGTGCATTGTCTTTGGACCATTGTTTACATGTACACACCTGTTTGTATTGTGGAGAGGGAGGACAGGCATGGAAATTGTTCATCTGGTAAGTCCTGCAGAGCATCAGTCCTTTATCGGTCTCCACTGAAACCTCAAGAGGAGAATACTTCCCCATGCTCACCCCTTCCTGGCTGAGGACACATACAGAACAACCGCTGTGTTGGTTCAAAACGACAAACATTAACTGCTCAGTTCATTAACGGTGATGCATTTAGGTGACTCACTTGTCTAGGCTTGTGAGGTTTTCGTTGCTCAAAGTCCAGACTACCCCCCACACTTCTGCCCCTGGATGGGACTCAATGGTGGCCACGCCGCCATGCCAAGTGGTGTGTGCATTTTTCTCCCACAGGCCAAAGTTCAGCTCATAGTCCTGTATGAACACAGGGGGTACGGGACAAAAGGTGAAAAGAGGCATTGTGCATTTTAAACAAAATGGCTTTTATTTCAGTGTGACGTGAAGAGGGGCTGCTGTGTTTGTGTTTTCAGCAGTGTCCCCAGAGCCTGTTTACTGTCGGTCATCAGTACGCTCCGGCCCTGTTGTTACAGCTGGTTCTGGACTGGAGGTGCTAGAGCTTCACTGTGGTCGAGCTCGGGGAGTAACAGATTACATGTAGCACAGGATACAAAAACAAAAGGTAACGAATGTTACGGTTGCAGGGGAAAAAATGTGTAATCAGATTACAGTTACATTTCGTAAAAATGTAGCAGGATTACAGTTATCAAATACATTTTAAATTTGAGAATGATATACTACCGTGCACATGCGCAGTGCATACACATTACAATCTTACAGTTGCCCAATTCATTATCATGGCCTCCAGTAAAAATGCTTGTTCTGGATAGAAATGTTGTCATTATTTTGTCTTTAACAGCACAGAGCAGCTTTATTAATGGTGCTGCTGCCTGAATTTACTCAATTAAAAACAGGTTCTTAAATACACTGAGCAGAGGTCACATTCTTATTTCCATTTTCTCATCTAAAGTTAAATAGTTCTGTTGTCTTAAAAGTCATCTTAAATGATATTTATTTTATCTTTATTTGCATATTTGGCGTTGAGGTAATCCGGAAGTAACGAATCAAGTCGTGTCAGGTTACTGAGTACATTTTAAATGAGTAACTGTGTCTCCTAACCCTGCCTGTAGTCATTTAGATGGAGTAATATGATCATTTAACGTTAATGTTGTCCACACATTACGAGGCCACTTTAACTTTAACGTAGCGCTGTAACTATGGTTACCATCCGCTGACTGCTGGAACGGCAGTTAAATTATTACCCGGACCGTTAGAGATGTTTGTTTGAGCTCTTTAAGACAAATAGTTAATCATCTTAATAACATAATATATCCGTACAACCATGTAACCACAATAATACATCTGATTCATCCAACAGTGTTTGCACCTGGCTAACGTTAGCCTGTGTTGTTTAATGCTCCGCCGTTGACACCGTGGTGCTAAGCTACTAAATGCTAACGTAAAGACGGTCCCGACAGGTAAGTGTAGGTGAAATAACTCAATGAATCAATGTTTAAGGTGTATTAATGTGTCATATCTACACTGCAGTAACGTTAGCTCGTCGCCACTCGGCTGCGTTTGGTGAGTTTCACATCACCGGAGATTTGAGTGATTAAAGTTGGAGGAGAGAGAGAGAGAGAGAGGGACTACAAAATAAAACCGGTTCACTGCACAAAGTGAGTGGTTACCTTCAGTCGGCCGGTGGAGTAAAACGTCGCCGAGGGGTTTGCCAGCTGCAGTCTCTCCTTCAGTAAGTTGCTTCCGAAAGCGAAGTACATGAAGCGACCGACGGCAGCAGCAGACATCTCTTGGTGTTTCTGTCGGCCGTCGACACATAGGAGCTCACCTTGATCCTAAACCTAAACCTAACTAAAAATCTTGTTGTTTTTAATGTACCAAGTGTTGGATCCAAACTCTGCACAGAGGCTGTCTCCGTCTCGTCTCGGCTGGTACTTTAAATAAAGTATTTTAGTTTAAGGTTAAAGGCGACTGCCGCTCTTGTTGACAGCAGCTTTTACACTAACTAGCTGTTTCAGAGCACATTAACCAGAGCTATGGGTTAACCAGCCACTTTACCACTATAACCATCACACACACTGAGGAGATACACAGATGTCTCGACTCTTTTTAAAGAGTATTTGATGATTCAGTTGTAATATTTGTGTGGGTGTTTTTTTTATTTACTTCCGGGTCAAATGCTGATCTTTTGCGGTCTCTTCTGGAAGTCTAGTGCTGACACAACAACCCTTAATGCCTTTAATATATAGATATATAGATATATATACACTTTATTTATCCCGAGGGGAATTACGTTGATTCATATTCTTAATCTGAAGTTAAAATGTGTTTTCATTTACAGCCTAGAGCAGTTAAGAAACCATGTTTCACAAAAATACACAGACAAGTTACCTGTGAAGGTTTAATAGGTTTTGATTTATATATTATTTATTTACCAAAGTTAAAGTTTAAAAGCCAGTTTCGAGGCTTTCATGGAAACTGCAGTATTGTAAATCCACCATTAATGACACGTACCAAATGTAGACATTTTATTAGTATTATCTTTAATTATTTAAATTCTATATTTGCATTGCCTTAGCTCACCTTGTAGAGCACGAGTCCTTATGACAACCCCACCCTCATTTCATCTTTAGAGGCCCACTTTATTTAAATTCAGCCATGTAATAAATACATTAAGTAAACAAAAGTGACACAAACAAACCCAGTTAATGCTGTTAATAACACACAGAGTCAAATGTATCCTCTTCATAAGGACTTTAATGTACAAAATAAGGAAAAACAAAAAAAACTTGAACAAAAACACATGGAAATTCACAAAATGTTTCCTCCGAGAAAAAAAAAAGAAGAAAAATCCTGTACAAACAGTGAGGTGTTGGCCTGAAAACGTGCGGCCTGGCGATCATCTCCTCGGGCCGCCCCGGCCTCGTCCTCTTCCTCTGCCACGACCTCGTCCTCTGCCTCGTCCCCGTCCAGCCACTGAGGAGACCGACGGGTCACAGTTAGCAGCAATCACACAGAAAATCAGTCCTACACTACAGGTCACTTTATACAAGTATACAAACCCCTGCTACACATGAAGGTAAAGAAAGTATTTAAAGTACAAACCAACGTGTAGGTTTCAAATGAAAACAAAACGTTTGAATAAAACCTGAGCAAGATACATGTATCCTATTCACCCTGCAGCACCGTCAACTGGAAGGCCGTGATTTCACTCGGCACGGCTTCACCTCGACCTCCGCAGAGATTATGTTGTTCCCTTTCCCTTGATTTATTTGCTTCTACCACGGTTAAAGGAGGCTACGTAACTCAATAGTTTCATTCAGTCTGTTTCTACAATTGGGAGTTTTATTTTGAAAAGTAATATAATACCAAGCTCCAACCACAACCAGGTGTTAACATCTGAAGAAGTTTAGTATTTTTTTAAATAGGAAAGCGCTCCAGGGCGTCGAGACTGAAGAGACTTGTTGCTGTATAAAACACAGCGCTGTTACACAGTCATGTCTCGTACGCTCTGACAAAACCCCCGAACTGGAAACTCCAACTGGTTTGCTAATTTTCCCAGTTTGCCGCAGCTTTGGTGTTTGTGTTCTGAAACTCGGCCGTGTGTCGGTTTAATGAGTGAACCTGTTAACTGGGAACTTTCTGCCGAATGTGTTAACCAATTGGTGACTTTATTTAGATAAAAGTCGATTAGGGTCACAGACAGGCAGGAGGAGGGAGAGTGCAGATGATTAGTACAAGCATCAAACATTATCCCACTGCACCACTTTAAAAGTAATTAGGAAAACAAACACTGTTAAACATCCTAAATCAATAGACAACGACAGCCTTACTTCAATACATTATCTGCTTATCGGTTTAATTCTTTATCGATTTCTGACATTGATAAAAAAGGAACTGATAAGCTACAATTATGAGGATCAGACACTTAATTTTCAGCACTGGTCACATGACTTTAACCTTTGACTTATAAAATTATATTCAGTTCATCGGGTTGAGTCCAAGTGGTGAGGCTGAGATATCAGGTTCACAGCAACGGGACGGACAGACAACCAGAACAAAATGTTTGTGACTATAAAACCACCGAGGTTTCACTACCAAGGAAAGATTCAAACAAAAACCCCTGAACTTTTTAACGTCCATGCACTGATATAAAGCAAGATTAATAAAGTCCTCGATAAACTTCCAAAACGCTCTGGCACAAAACACAACAAGAGGAAGCCACATATCACTAGTGTGCTGTATTATCGTCCCTCCTCTGCAGAACACCTGGATGAACGACTCACCTGCTTCCCTCTTCTTGGACTTGACCTTCGGCTCGATGTCAACCAGCAGGGTGTCCAGGGGGAGGCTGTCGGGAAGGATGAAGTAGCGAATGTTGTTGCCACGGATACTCAGTGACTCCAGCTGAGTGGGCTCCCTGTTTTTCAGGGTCATTTTCACTGCCTTCAGGTGGGTGTTCATGCTCACATCAACACCTGAAAGAGAAAAGAAACAGGAGATGAGAAACAGGGAAATTACCACCATGGAAATCCTGTCTTTGCTGATCCCCAGTGGTTCATCTCTGGTGGACCGCAGAATCTCCTCATGGTGCCACAAAGCACAATTCAGACCACAACCAAACATATCCAGCAGTCTGAGCTGCCAAAGTGTTGAAACTTTCAACCAGAGAACGCAGAAAATAAGAGCTCGACAGCATTTGTTGCCTCTAAATCTCTCTGATCGGTACACGTGTGTTCATGAAGCTTTACCAATCTGAAACGGTGATTTGAAGGACGCCTCGGCACAGGAGTGGCGTGGTTACAAGGCATCAATGATTTGTGATGAAATTATTGTTTTACTCTCGTTCACAGTAAAAATGTATAAATTAAATCACAAGTTCACTTTTCTCCAATTGGAAGAGGAATAAAAAGAAGAAAACACGAGATGTATTGGTAGAGAATAAAGTGATACACCCTTCAAAACATAATTTAATAGGAACAAACAAACCTAAAAATGTAAATGAAGAAGAATAACTCCTCTTAAAACTGTTAAAACAATTGATTATAATCTTTATGAGGGTATTACTAAGAGCTGTATTAGGCTGCATTGGCTTTAGCTGGGTCAACCTGATAAACTGGCTTCTGGGAGGATATTTGGTATCACCTGTGGAAGCAGTTTAAAGGCAAACTTTGAAGAACAGATATGTCACAAGTAGAGAGAGATTTAACAGCTGTATCTTCTAATAAAGCCCCAGCTGGCTCTTACCTGTGATGGTGCCATGGACCTGGGTGCCATTCTTCAGTTCAATGGTGACCGTCTCATGGCTGAGTTTCATCAAAAACCTGCGAATATCAAACACAACCCGAGAGTAAACACCTCTGTGTGAGCTCTTCCTCTCCTCATATCGACACCGTTTCCACAGTAACATCGTTTAAAGTTTAAAAGTTAACTTTAGCCTGAAGTGAGCTGGTTAGCCTGTTAGCTTCAGGCGGTGCAGCTCAGGACCAAAACAAAAGCCCCCTGACGAACAACGTGAAGCCCGTCCACTTTAAAGTGTCAATAACAACACGTTGAGGAGAGCACTGGTGGCTAAATGTTACAGTACCCGCAGAGAACAGCAGACACAGAAAGGCCTGTGAGTAAACCGACACTGACCTCGGTGCGTTTGCGGATAAAACAAAGAGATTAAACAAACAATAACTCCGCTGTTTCACATTTAACACTGAGAGAATGAGAGTGTGTGAATGGTTCAGGTTATTCCCGAGCCCCGTGTGCTCCGGTCTTTGTATCTGCGGACAGCCTCCATTCACTTCATTCACGGGTTCCCGCCTCATCCTCCTCCTCCTCCTCCTCTTCATCAGTCTCTCCCTCCGGTTAAATCTACACCCATCCTTCATCATCGCGTTATTTCATCCGCTCGTATCGCCGCCACCGACAGACGGGGCCTGCTGACGAACACTCACCGGACTAGTTTCATGCTGGTGACGGACTGTAGAGAGAAATCCTCCACCGAAGAGAAAAAATTACAGCGATCAGGTGAGAACACAGGCCGCTGCTGCACTGTACGTTTCTGTCGCGCTTATGCGACGTCACTAAATGGGCGACAGCAAAGCGGAAACGTTGCTGATGGCAACATCGCCCCCTGACGGTGGAGTGGTGAACAGGTTTAATAAGTTTAAAACACACTTCATGTAACTTTACTCTAGTTATTGTACATAATATAACCCCGAATACACAGACTGTGGGTTCAGCTTCCATTAGTCCTCTAATTACATTTATTTATCAAAGCTTTATTGATATAACTGTTTATAACTTGTGGTATAATTGGTTTTAATACTTGTGTAACTGGTAATAACTTGTTTTAATAAACTTGGTATAAACTGGTGTATAACTTGTGTATAACTTGGTTATAACTTGTTTATAACTTGTGTATTAACTGGTGTTATACTTGTTTAATAACTTGTGTAATAACTGTGTATAACTGTTTGTATAACCTTGGTTGGTATAACTTGTTTATAACTTGTGGTTATAACCTGTGTATATTGTTTATAACTGTGTATAACTGTGTATAACTTTGTGTATAACTTGTGTATAACTGTGTATAACTTGTGTATAACTGTACATCAGCTCTTAGTAAAGGCAGGGAGGACAATAGATAATAAACAATAAAGACAATCTTTACTTCATTTTGCACTGCTTACTGTTTATATTGTTTACTGTAGCTACTGTGTTATACATTAACTTTAAGTTTATTTTATTCTAATGTAAAAGTGAAATGAAGAGAAATATACAAT